TCTATACTAAGTTCCTTCATTCTTCCCTACCCCCCTGTAGGGATATGGATCAGCTTATCAGAGAAAACATTCAGCTGTTGGTTTTTKGGGATTGGCTAATTTCACTTAGCATTATATTCTCTAGTTCCATCCACTTACCTGCAAATGCCATAATTTCATTCATCTTTAAGGCTGAGTAATATTCCATTGTGGATATTTTCCACATTTTTTTTTATCCATTCATCTCTTGAAGGGCGTCTAGGTTGGTCCCATAGTTTAGTTATTGTGAATTGAGCTGCTACAAACATTGATGTGGCTGTGTCACTGTGGTATGCTGTTTTTAAATCCTTTGAGTATAGACCGAGGAGTGGGGTAGCTGGGTCAAATGATGGTTCCATTCCAAGTTTTCTGAGGTGTTTCTATATTGCYTTTCAAAGTGGTTGCACCAATTTGCAGTCTCACCAGCAATGGACGAGTGTACCTTTTCTCCAACATCCTCACCAACACTTATTATTGCTTAGATTCTTGATAATTGCCATTCTGAGTGGAGTGAGATGAAATCTTAGATTAGTTTTGATTTGCATTTCTTTAATTGCTAGAGATGATGAACATTTTTTCATATTTTTGTTCATCGATTGTATTTCTTGTTTTGTTCAGCTCCTTAGCCCATTTATTGACTGAGTTATTTGATTTTTTGGTGTTAAGTTTTTTTAGTTCTTTATTTATATATCCTGGAGATTAGTGCTCTCTCTGATGTGTATAAGGCAAAAATTTGCTCCCAAAATGTAAGCCCTCTCTTCATCTCATTGTTTTTTTTTCTTATTTATTTTTTATTTGTAGTTGGACACAATACCTTTATTTTATTTATTTACTTATATGTGGTGCTGAGGACTGAACCCAGGGCCTCACACGTGTTAGTTAGGCTCTTCACTGTGCTCTACCGCTGAGTCACAACCCCAGCCCCTGATTGTTTCTTTTGCTGAGAAGAAGATTTTTAGTTTGAATCCATCACATTTATTGATTCTTGATATTACTTCTTGTGCTTTAGGAATCTTGATAAGGAAGTCAGGTCTTAAGCCAACTTGATGAAGATTTGGGCCTACTTTTTCTTCTAGTAGGCACAGGGTCTCTGTTATAGTGTCTAAGTCTTTGATCCACTTTGAGTTGATTTTGAGCAGGGTGAGAGAGGTTTAATTTCATTTGCTACATATGRATTCCCAGTTTTCCCATCAYCATTTGTTGAATAGGSAGGCTATATTTTCTCCAATGTATGTTTTTGGCACCTTTGTCTCATATGAGATAACCATATTTATGTGGATCTGTGTCTTCTATTTTGTACCATTGGTCTACAAGTCTATTTTGGTACTAATACCATACCTTTTTTGTTACTATTGCTCTGTAGTTCGTATCCTTTAAAGTCTGGTATTATGATGCCTCTTGCTTCACTCCTCTTGCTGAGGATTGCTTTGGCCATTCTGGGTCTCTTATTTTTCCAAATGGGATCATGATTGCTTTTTCTAGTTCTATGAAGAATGTCATCGGGATTTTAATAGGATTGCATTAAATCTGTGTAACAGTTTTGGTAGTATGGCCATTTTGACTATATTAATTCTGCCTATCCAAGAGCATGGGAGATCTTTCCATCTTCTAAAGTCTTCTTCAATTTCTTTCTTTAGTGTTCTATATTTTTCATTGTAGAGGTCTTTTACCTCTTTTGTTAGATTGATTCCCAAGTATTTTATTTTCGAGGCTATGGTGAATGGGGTGGTTTTCCTAATTTCTCTTGCAGTGTATTAATCACATATACATAGAAATGCATTTGATTTATGGATATTGATTTTTATATGCTGCTACTTGGCTGACTTCACTTATTAGTTCTAGAAGTTTTCTGGTGGAATTTTTTGGATCTTCTAAATATARGATCATGTCATTGGCACATAGTGATAGTTTGAGTTATTTTCCTCCATTCTCTCTCTCTCTCTTTAAATTGACTAGCTACACTTTTCTATGAGGGAGGGCCTGACACCCACCTGACACTTTTTCCATCTGAATTCCTCTCAAGGGTCCCTGTTCCAGGTACCAACCGTCATCCACAACCTGCATAGGGATGGAATAAGTAACCCTCGGAGGCACTGGGCCTCCTGGAAATTAAAAAAAAAAAAAAAGTATGTAAAAAGTAGTATCAAGAAATAAAGCCAAAGATGCAAGAAAATATTTGGAGCTGGGGCTTGGCTGGTGAGGAGACCTGATGGGTCTGATCCTAACAAAGGGAAAAGCCTGAAAATGCTTTATTTATAGTGAAATACACAAAGAGATTCAGTGAGGAGTTCTTCAGGAAAACAGGATAAGAATGGGGAAAAYAAGTTGTTTGGGGCTTTGCAGGTCTCCAGGTCGCTGAGTTTAAACTGAGACAGGGTGTGAGCTGAGACAGGGTGCCAGGAGGGTCTGGGTTTTCTTGAACTGGGGAACTTTACCCAAGAACTCCCAGAAAAATAACCTCCCTGCCTTATGATGGCTCAAACAAATGCATAATTTAGGCACGGCTTCCAACAGGATCCTAGTCTTGTGGATGGACATGATGTTGAGATTCACTGTGCTGTATTCCTTCATGTCCACAGGAAAGTCACGTTCGATTTAGTTCACAGTCTTTCACATTCCTCTTCCCCCTTCTTTCCCTTCATTCCCCTTTGTCGAATCTGCTGACTGCTGTCCTTAGCAACCACATATCATTTGACTTTGTTTTTTGGGGATTGGCTTATTTCACTTAACATGGTAGTCTCCAGATTTCTCCCTTTACTGGCAAATGCCATCAAGCCATTCTTTTTATGGCTGAATAATATTTCATCATGCATATCATTCATTACTTTATCTCTTTTGCCTCATGTTTTTGCTTAATTTGGTATCAGGTCAGAGTATCTCGGAGCGACTTTTTAAATTCACAGTTTATGACAGAATAAATACCAGTACAACTGAGAGAAATCTCTGGTGAAAAATACTAGATGATATAATAAAGATATGTAATAATGTGGGAAATGTTTTTGTTGGCACTAGGAAAGAGGTCATCAAACTGGGGAGTATAGTATATTTTAAACACATTTAAATACTGTTGTACTGTTGAAGATTGCCTTGGGCAACCCTGCCTACACAGCATTAAACCAGGGCAAAGTAACATTTAGTGGTGGGACCCATACTCTTCTTAGTGAGAGAGGTACCAGAGTTGTGATTCTTCTGTTTTTAAAWATCCCTAGAAAATGTAAGAAGCCCCATAATTTCCTTGTTAAACATTTCAGTGATAAGCATCTGGATTTTATTGGCCTAAACTAAAAGCAAATTGTTTAGAAATCTTCTCCCATGAGGCTGTGGCAGTTTGTAATAAGGTTTGTACCAAAGACTTTTTTCTTTAGTAAAGAAAAGAATTTTCCTTCTTTTTAAAAATATTTTTATTTGTTATGGATGGACCTTTATTTTCTATTTTTTTTTTTTAATACGTGGTGCTGAGAATCAAACTCAGTGCCTTACACATGCTAGGCAAGTGCTCTACCACTGAGCCACAAACCCAGCCCAGAATTCTTCTTCTTGAAAATTATAACAGTGAAGCATGGGAAATTAATTTTAGGCCCTCATGTGCCTATTCTAGTAGCAACGTTTTTTCCCCCACTTCTGTTTACCATGGTTGCATTAGTTTTAGGGTAAGTGAATAATTAATGATGGTTGATTGATGAAATAATGGTTGTGTTCAGAGTGAGTTTAGRTGGATGAAAGAGGCCTCAGGGATCCCTGCTTTTGGGCAGTTGGCTTAGGATTCCAGGTTTTAGTGCCAATAGTTGCATCCTTTAAATACTTACAAACAGGTTTAACGAAAAGCTGTGGTGAATGAAGCTTGCCTTACAGTCAGTTATTCTTTAGAACAATCTAGAACTAAAGTATTTTAGCCCAAAGTATTCCTCCGTACTGCTCCTTAAGCATGATAAATTATTTCTATTATCCTTCTGAGATGAACCTGATAAACAGCTTGGTAAAGTGCAGAGTCGAATAACTTAATTGTGTCTGTATGAGTCATTCATTTATTTTTCTCAGTCAGTCGATAATAATTAAACACCTACAATATGTCTGATATGGTTCCGAGTGCCAGGAAGGTAGCAGGGTACAAAACCTGCATTGATCTCACATGGATCTCTCCTTATTTTTGTTAGRAACAAAAATAATGAATGCAGAAGTATAAAATGTATGAACCGTCAATTGGTGCTAAGTGCTATGGAGAGGAGACAGCGGGGAATGGGGAGTGGAGAATGCCAGCATGGGAGGGAGATGGGCTTTAAAGAGCATGGCAAAGCCTCTTTGAGATTATCGTACTTTGGCCTTTGACTTTTCAGCTCTCTTAAATGCATGCAAAATTTAAGTTCACTTATTCAGAATAATTTTTGGGGAAAATAAAGGATACCTTAARGAATGGTTTGATAAATGGGCCTGTAAGATGCAATAGCCTCGACATCACAGATTGCTCTAGTAAAGAGTTTKCGGCTTGAGAGGTCAGAAGGATCCTGACGATGCCGCATTTATATTGTGTTGAAAAGCATTCTGTTTCAGTAATGTAGCCTAAAGGTGAGCGTCATGGTGTCACATGCAGATTTGACATTTTCATGGAGCTGAGCAAGGTCTTGCAAATTAGTTCCCAAGTGTGTCCACTCCTACATAACAAGCTGATTCATTTCCTTCACTGTCCATTTTAATTCCTTCTACTTTTATCTCCACAGGCAAGTGAATATATTATTCTAGTCCACCTCACGGTAAACAGAGAAGCTTATAAAAAAATAGCCACTTTGTGGGCCTTATTTATTTATTTTACCACGAATAGAATTAATTTGGATAACCTACTTGAGGAGTTGCATGTGTTTTCCTAAATGTTCCTAATTAGATATTCACCAGGTTTTCGATTTTTTGCATTTTTAAATATTGAGCACAGTGTTTGAATAAGGTGATTAGCATGCCAGACTTTAACTAAAAAGCTGATGTTTTTTCAGTGCCCGCCAAATCTTCATAAGCAAGATGGATATGCCTGCAATCAAAATCAGGTATACTGGTCTATAAATTTTAAACATAATTTTAAAAGAATTAGCTGGAAAGGTTTTTGTTTTGTTGATGAATGTAATTTTGAAAGGAAATTATTCAAGAAAATTATTGCAATGAGGTTCTAATTCAGAGTTGCTTCACCTCATACCAAATATTAAATATACTTAACTCTGGTGACAAATTGTTCAAATTGAGGGAACAGAAAACAACAACAACATAATGGCTGAGGAATCAGAAATCTAATTTTTTAAAATTGTGACTATTTTTAAATAATTTAAACCTATCCATTATGGGAAAAATGACTTACAATGCTTTTGAAGCCATTTTATAACTATAAMCATGTACATACTGGAGAAGCTAAATATCATTTTGTATGATACAAAAAAAACTGCCAATTTTTGTTTTCCATAAAATTTAAATTTTTAGGCAATTAATTTGGATTTAAAAAAACTGTACTATGAGATCTGTTTCGAGTTTAAAAGTTTAACTGTGTGGGATTCTCTTAAGATATCTGTGATTCTTATTGGTCACTATGAAAATATTAGGGTATGAGATAGGAAAAAAAATTTAAAAAAAACCTTACCTAACTGAACTTGAAAGAGACCTTGTCATTGGAATTTGGGGTAAAATGAAACTGGCTGTGTGTGCTTCACAATATGTGCRCTCTTGTCCCCAGGGCCGCTGCTACAACGGCGAGTGCAAGACCAGAGACAACCAGTGTCAGTACATCTGGGGAACAAGTAGGTCACATCTTCYTGCCTGGTGGTCATACACACCGTTTTCTTTTAATATTGTTCTTCTCTGCCACGTAGGCTGACAGAGACACACGGTTTGSAGTGATGTTTAAAAAGAAAGGAATCTAGAAAAGGGTGAGAATAAAGAGATTTGTGAATCTCAGTCACAAAAAACGATAGAGGGGTTGAAGTGTGACTTAGAGTGTGAGAGAGGCCCTGGATTCAACCCCCACCTCAAATAGTACAACAAGATACCTAATACAAACTATGTAGAAAACAACCACACAAACTGAGGACTTGTCTCAGAACCCAATGGTGTCATTCAGTGATTGTGGCTGTCAGAGAAGAATATTGCATCTGCTTGCAAAGATGATTTGAGTGCAGAGGTCAGAGTCACTGCCCTGACACTTGCATGGTTTACTTTGTACTTTGGCTCCGACATGTATCCACACCACCCCCGCACCCGCAAGTTAGCTTTCTGTTTTTTACCCCAGAAGAGTGTCAGCCTTGATTTTTAAAATTTGTGTCACTCACTATCTCAGATCCAGTGAAGAAATGCAGGTATTTCTGAAGAGCAGATAGGTACACGGTCCTGTCTCAGCACATTTCTCAAATGTTCATACACATATTCTCTTGATGACATTTACAGTGCCTCTCCCATGAGCTTCAGTTCATGAGACACAGACAGGAAGCTCAAGAAATGGGTCTTCCTTGCTGACTGTCATTGGCCAAAAGAAAAGAAAGGACACAAAAGCAAAACAACCCCTGGCAGGAGTGATTTCAGTTATTAAGCCAATATCATTTATCTGAGATTTGTGTTCAGTGTTTCAGTTTTCATAGAGGAAAGATAATAGACACTTATCATCTTTTCAAAGATTGAAATATCAAAACCCAATGACCAGTACAAAATCTCAATGGGCTGACTTTATAATTAATCTCCCAATATCAATATAGAACAGAATTAAGAATGTATRTTAGATTTCCACGTGTCATTTCACTAATTCCTACTGATGATTCTTCCCAYTACCTACCTACCCTTAAACTCACCAATGAGAAATTTATTTCTCACATTAAACAAATTGTATTAGGACCTTTTTTTCCCCCCAACACTAGGGATTGAATCTCATGGTATTCTACTACTGAGCTCCATCTCCAACCCCTTTTTATATTTAAAAAAATTTGAGTCAGCATTTTGCTTAATTGCCTAAGCTGGCCTTGAACGAACGAACRTATAGTTCTCCCTTCTCAACCTCCCAATTATCTGGGATGACAGGCGTGTGCCACTGTGCCTGGCATGTGTTGGAGCTTTTTGGAATAAACCCACAAAAATCATTGCTAAATTTTTAGGAATTTGTTAGCTTAAAATCAGTCCTGGAATATTTATACTACAGAAATTGTCAGATGCTACAAATCAAGGTTTTTCCTTCTTTTTCTGGAGAACCAGTTGTTAAACATTTAGTGATGCACTACTGGTCGTGATTAACAAAAAAAAGAACTAAAATTAATTTTCTTCCTTTGCCAATCTCCAACAGAGGCTGCAGGATCTGACAAGTTCTGTTATGAAAAGCTGAACACAGAAGGCACGGAGAAGGGAAACTGCGGCAAGGATGGAGACCGGTGGATCCAGTGCAGCAAACAGTGAGTGCTCAGCTTTGGAGCATAATGACTGCACTGGGAGGTCCTGATGCAAATGCAGAATGAGAACAAGATAAATGTTACTCGATTTTTTTTAATATTTGTTTTTTAGTTTTAGGTGGACATAATATCTTTATTTTTTATGTGGTGCTGAGGATTGAACCCAGTGCCTCATGTATGCTAGGCAAGCACTGTACCACTGAGGCACAACCCCAGTCCATGTTACTCATTTTTATAAATGTCTGGCTACTCAAAAATTGAAGCATGCATTTGAAAAATTCATTGGTGTATCTGGTGTCAAATGATAATAGGCAAAACTGATACTATGCAACAAACTCACAGCCTTTCCATAAAACTCAGAAAATCCTCATATGCTGTATTTCTATATTTTACCTGATTCTTGTTTTGAAGTGATACTTTGCCAAAATATTACAAATGAATATCAGGTTTTAATTTCCTACTTTAGCTAGAACATTTGACCTATGAATGTGTTATTTGCTATTATACACAGACTTGAAGAGGTAAATTATATAGACTGTATATTTTGGAGTCTATTCAAAGTATACTAATAATATATTTTTAGTCATTTCACATCACATGTGCAGCACCTTTTGATTTAATTAGGCATCAAATATCTATATCAGATATCAGAGGGTTTTCCCTTCTAAAAAGCATCTGGTTAGCACATATTAGAGGCATCCTTACTCAGGAAGGGAGAAGCTTTTAGTATACATYAATTATATTTCCCTTGGGTTTGTTGATGAAAGTTAGAATTGTGATTCAATAGTTTATTCAGGTTAATCCAGTGATCCAAGTCAGTTGACTTAGTTATAAGTCAAAACTCCTCTATTTCTTTCCCCTAACAGTAAGGATTTTTCTCTTATTTTTTGGTACCAGGGATTGAACTSGGGGCACTTGACCACTGAGCCAATCCCCAGCCCTATTTTGTATTTTATTTAGAGACAGGGTCTCACTGAGTTGCTTAGCACCTCACTTTTGCTGARGTTTGCTTTGAATTTGGGATCCTCCTGCCTCAGCTTCCTGATCCACTGGGATTACAGGTGTCTGCCATCATAGCTGCTCTCCCAGTTTTGGAGTAGAGCAAGGGAAGTTCTGTTTCTCCTGTTAATGATCTCTATGCTATACTTCATGAAAGTTTGCAGTTCCACATAGTGTTTGATAGTGAATGAGGCCTTACCAGGCAATGCATCTTTGACTATCATTTCTTTAAAATTAAACCAAAATGACAGGGAACAGTTTCCCAACTGATGACTTACAAGTGAGGTATATATATGCTATGATGTTCTTAAGGTGCTAGGGAGAAGCAGGGAGAGGTCTGATGTGGTGAAAACCCATGGGGTTGGGTATCTCCAAATTGATTAGCTTTATCATTAACTCCATGTCTTAGACAAATCTGATCATTTCTCCTTGTCTCTGTAACTTCAAAAAGTTTGGGAGGCATTGGATTAGATCATTGTTGAAAGCCACAGCTGAAGGGGCCCCAGCAAACTTCCAGCTGCCAGATCATTGTAAAAGATAGCTTTTGAGGAAAATTACTGTTTTTTTTAAACTTTAAAAAATTGTGACATATAATATGTAAACTGAAAAGTAACCCAGGTATRCCTTTTACCAAATAATTATGAGGTGAGCCCCCATGTAACCCCTACCTGGGTCAAGAAATAGAATGTTGTAGCATCCCAGAAATAATGTCTCCTTCCCCAACAGCTTCCCATCTCTTTTCAGGAAGTCCCTTTCCCCCAACTTTTGTGACAATGGTTTTCTTGCCTTGTTAAGAGTTTTACTGCCTAAGTTTTTTTTTTTTTTCTTTCAGTACTAGGGATTGAACTCATGGACACTCAACTACTGAGCCACATCCTCAGCCCTATTTTGTATTTTATTTAGAGACAGGGTCTCACTGAGTTGCTCAGTGCCTTGCTGTTGCCGAGGCTGGCTTTGAACCCATGATCTTTCTGCCTTAGCCTTCCGAGCTGCTGGGATTACAGGCATGTGTCACTGTGCCTGGCTGCTGCCTAAATTTTTAATCCCTAATACTTCATGCATTGTTTGATAGTTTGCTTCTGAAGTTCAGCATTTAAAGAGCTTTWCCTGGTGTGTATAGCTGTACTGTTTGTTTCATTTTTGTACATGCACATACTAACATACTATAATTTAGTTTCCATTCTATGTTGATGGACTTTTGGGCTATTTCTTTGTTTTGGCTGTTAGGAACTATTGGGCTATGAATATGCTTGTACATGTAGCCTAGAGTACCTTTGCACACATTTCTCTAAGGCCCTGGTTGAAAAATTGCTAAGTCATAGGAAGCGAATATCCTCAGCATCACCAGATGATGTCAAACTATTTTCTAAAAATAGTTTTACTAGTAAACTCTGYCATTAATAATATGAATATGAGAATGTTGTATCATATTCCCACCAACACGTGATCTTATCAGATTTTTTGCTTTTATCTATTCATTTGGGTGTGAACTACTATCTTATAATTTTTCATGTGCATTTCCCAGATTCTAAATAGCATTTAGCATATTTTCTTACATTTATTGAATATAGATTTTTTTTTTTAGTGATGTCACTTCAGTTCTTTGCCCCTTCTTTAAGAGTCATGGTTTATTTAATAGATGGGCTGGAGGTAGGTGCCCTCAAGGTGGATGAGTTGTATAACAGTGTCCCCAAGGACCTGGATCATTTCTGTCCTGCTGCGTGTTGATTTTTTTTTTTCCTGTCTGTGATCTTATGAAAGCAAGGTAGGTGCAAAACTGCACATTCAAAGGTAGGAAGTAGGGGTAGGAGTAAAGCCTTTTCCCTATTATGCTCTAACTTTTATCCAGAAATCCTCCTAGCAACTCTCTTGCTTTCTCTTCCCTACATCTCTATGCCCTGAACCCCTTTTAGCTATAAGGAGTCGGGTAGAGGGCTGCATAAGAAAGTGGGCATGGGGAATGCCACAGGTAACTGGGACTTGTCATGATCCATCTTTCAGGCTGTCTGCTTCACTGTCCCAAGCAAAAATGTGGTCCTTCTGGCAAGAAAGGGGGGAATCATAGCCAACTATAATATCTAAATAAATATTTCTATTTTAAAGGAAAGAGAATATTTAAATTATTTGAATATATGTACACTGAATACTTTTGATTTTTTTTGAGCTTGATTTCTCTTGCCTTGTTCTTTCTTTTTCAAAAAAAAAAAAACATATTCAGTGACGTGTTCTGTGGATTTTTACTTTGTACCAATCTTACTCGAGCTCCACGTATTGGTCAACTTCAAGGAGAGATCATCCCGACTTCTTTCTATCATCAAGGCCGAGTGATTGACTGCAGGTAACACAGTAAATGTTAGCCTCATGAAGCATGAGAATTACAAATTCCAAAAAATAAAATTTTGAAAAAATAATTTAAAAAAATCAAAGATGTTCTTACAAGAGGAAAGTTGACTTAGATTTTATCATCATCTTTCATGTGGAAAATCACTTAAAAAAGAAAGTATTACATTGATTTGCAAATTACACTTGTTCCAAATTGTACTAGTTAATACCAGTGAAGCATTCTTTTAAATCATGATCTGAAGACTAGAATTATCATTTGAGTATCCCTTATCTCAAATGCTTGGGACCAGATGAGTTTTGAATTTCATATTTTGGGGGATTTTGGGATATATATATATATATATATATATATATATATATATATATATAGAGAGAGAGAGAGAGAGAGAGAGAGAGAGAGAGAGATATCATGGGGGTAGGACCCAAGTCTAAACATGAAATTTTTTCATATTTCTTGTACACCTTAAACACATAGGCTGAAGGTAATTTTTAAATTCTATGTATGTATGTATGTATGTATGTATGTATTTATTTTTAACGGGGTTCATTGTGATGTTTCCAAAAAAATCACACAGCATGCAGTGATTATTTCCAACCAAGCTTCCCTCCTCCACCCCTGTATCTTTTCCAATCCACAGTAATCACTATTATTTTGGGGAGGGTGTACCCAGGATTGAACTCAGGGATACTCAACCACTGAGCCACATCCCCAGTCCAATTTTTGTATTTTATTAGAGACAGGGTCTCACTGAGTTACTTAGCATCTCACCTTTGCTGAGGCTGGCTTTGAACTCCAGATCCTCCTGTCTGAGCCTCCSGAGCTGCTGGGATTAAAGGTGTGCGCCACCTCGCCCAGGCCCAGTAATCACTATTTTACTTTCAAGTTAATTTCTTTTTAGTTTTTACATATGAGAGAGAGCGTGTTACTTGTTTTTCTGTCTAGCTTATTCTGCTTAACAAAATGTCCCCTAGTTCCATCCATTTTGCTGAAAATGACAGGATTTCATTCTTCTTTATGACTGAAGGATATTCCATTGTATTTATGTGACTTGTTTTCTTTATCTATTTGTCTGTTCATGGGCCCCTAGGCTGATTTCATATCTTAGCTATTGTGAGTAAACATGGGCATGCAGGTATCTCTTTTATATGCCAGCTTCATTTCCTTTGGATAAATAGCTAGTAGTCAAATAGCTGRATGATCATATGATAATTATAGTTAGTGTTTTGAGGCGCCTACCTAGTATTCTTTATAATGACTGTCCTAATTTACATTCTCACCGACAGTGATTGTAATAGTTCCTTTTTCTCCCCATCCTGGCCAGCATTTGTTTTTGGTTTTGTTTTGATAATAACTATTCTAAGTGGGATAAGGTGGTGTCTTTTGTAGTTTTATTTGAATTTTTTCAATGGCTAATGATAGTGAGCATTTTCCCACACATAGATTTTTTTTTGAGAGAATCTATCTTTATTTTGTATAAGCACAAACATATATATCTATTGTCATTCAAGATATTCTTAATGCATTTGATGAAAAAGAATCTGCTTCGTGGATGTTGAAAATATCTAACATTTACTATTTCTCCTTCATATTAAACTTAATCTTTTTTTCCATATATTTATTGACCACTTTTATTTATTCTTTTGAGGAGTGATTCTTATGTAGTATTTTTAGTGCACTTCACTTTTGAATGTGACTCATTTCGTGATCTCAAATGTGTACTTTTCCACTTACAGTGTCACGTCAATGTTCAGAAATTTTCAAATTTTGGAGTGTTTCAAATTACAGATTATTGGATTATGGATGCTCAGCCTGTATGCTTTTTTAACCCAAGATTACAATTTTGAGCAGGGAATATGTCACTATTTGAACACTTTTATTATATTTTTATCAAAAAAAGAGCTTAGACTTTGTGTAGCATATGTCTGGTTTAGAATATGGCTTAACAAATACCCAATCACATATAGAAAATATTGATTAAAATATTATTCATAGTTGTAAGCRAACATTTTATGTTCAGTTGTCTTGAGAATACATAGGATGTAGGTATGAAGCTTATTTTTTAGCCAAGAAATTGTAATATATTCCAAGTGAGTTCCCTTCAAGTAGTCACACTTCTGAGACACCATTCTCTTATTTAAATTTTCTGGTGTTACTTGAACTGCTTTTTGGATTTCCCCTATAGAATAGACTTTAGCATCTGCACTTTTGTTTTTAGTAGCCCAGACAAAATCTTCAACTTATGTGAGTGAATAAGATATGAGGAATTATCCAAAAGTAATTTTGAACAAATTTTAGTAAATTGAGCGAGTRTGTTGTATTGTCAAGTGATTGCTGGTTTTTTTTTTTTTCCCCTGTATTTTTAAGTGGATTTAAAGGCAATTCTTGCCTGGAATACATTTGCAGTCTCTCTTGCTTGTTACTTTGAGGCACACAAGTTTTCTTTGTGTATGTTTTTATATGTCTGTAACAGCCTCGTTAAATTACATTGTTACATTCTAAATTAGCACATTTGTAAAATACTCAGCAAGATACTCTGTTAGTAATTATAGCATTATCATTTAAATTCATGTTGTCCCTAACTTTGAAATTTTGGAAGTAAATATCAATAGAAAAGCACTGGCTTATTTTTTCAATTATGAATAATCAAGTCCTTCCTCTAAAGTAATAATAATAATTTTCAGAATACTTTCATTGCTCTTTTTGCTCAACATCTGCTTTTTTTTTTTTTCCTCCCCTACCACATCTGAAAGCCTCAGAGAACTCCTGACATATTTGTTTYTTTTGTTCTTACACGAAGGCCTCTCCCCTCATCTTAATATTGGGTGAGGGAAACAAGTGAAGATTCAGAATGTACATAATGTGAATGATGGTTTTCCTGATGATGGGCAGTGTAATAATGATAATGAAAGGGAGGGTTTTTTTTTTTTCATGATCTTTTATTAGGGGACTGGAAAGGGGAAAAAGGAAAGAGAAGATTGGGAAAATACTAAGAGGAACTTCTGTTCATAGACACCCTCTTCAGTTCATGCTGACCCTGTATTTCTAARTATGCTGCTAACGATTGTGTGGATCTTTTTTTCCTCTTAGTGGTGCTCATGTAGTTTTAGATGATGATACAGACGTGGGCTATGTAGAAGATGGAACACCATGTGGCCCATCCATGATGTGTTTAGATCGGAAGTGCCTACAGATACAAGCCCTAAATATGAGCAGCTGCCCACTTGATTCCAAGGGTAAAGTCTGTTCAGGCCATGGGGTAAGTAAGCATCCATGTTCCAGCTCGAACCTCCATTGTCTGGTCCCCTCAGGGTGCACAATGGCTGGACTTCCGGKTTAGCCATCCTCCTAGGTGATTATTGCCAGCATCTAGGCATGGATTATGACTATTTTCTTAGTCCCCTTATCTGCTAAGAATGTGCCATGTATTAATTTGATTTTATTATTGTTCTTTTTTCCTATCTCTGGCTATTTATATTCACCACATCTCTAAGATATTATTTGATATCCATATGAGTATTCTGCAGAGAAACAGAACCAGTAGAAGATAGATATATGTATGCATATGTGTATGAATGTATCTATCTGGATATATTATGAGCAATTAGCTCATGTGATTATGGAGGTTCAGACATTCCCAAATTTACTGTCAATAAGATGGAGACTCAGTGTTATAATTGTCTTGAGTTCAAAGGCTTAAGAACTAGAAGAGCTGCTGGTCCTAGGACTAGAGAAGATGTACGCATTCAAGTAGTTAAGCAGGAAAAAAAAAAAAGGTGTGTATTGTGAATCCCCCTTCCTCCTCCTTTTTGCTGTGTTCAAGCCCTGAATGGATTGGGTAATGCCCACTCAGGTTGAGTAGTCAACTGATTCAAGTGGTAATCTCACCTAGAAACAGTTTCACATATACATCCAGAAATAATGTATCGGACATCCCTTAGTCCAGTGAAGTTGGCACATAAAATTCATCATTACAACAGCTAAAAAGGTGGAAGAAAATTGGTGTGGGTTCCACAGAAACTATAGATCGCATGTGACTATTTTGTATAATTCAAAACAACTTAAACCATTGGGGTAATTCACTGTCATGAACTCAATATGCACAAACTGAGTATCTGGGTGCCAGTTCACGCTAGGCTAGAGGTTGAATCAAAGATGATATTTGCAGGTTTAAAGTTATACACAGTTATACATGGACAGTTGTCAACCAAAGAGAAAATGCTATCCCTCTTCACAACCACATGTGTCTTTAATTCTGTGAACAAAGTGTTTGGGCAAGTTGCCTTTATTGGTAAATCTAAGCTGGATCCCAAAACACAAAATTAACTATTATTTAAATTGGGCTTATCAAAAGGAAGGCATTTCATAATTGACACAGAGTCGGGTATAGTGGTACACACCTGCAATCCCAGCTGCTAAGGAGGCTGAGGCAGGAGGATCGAAAGTTCAAAGTCAACCTCAGCAAAAAGCAAGGCACTAAACAACTCAGTGAGACCTTATCTCTAAATAAAATACAAAATAGGGCTGGAGATGTGGCTTGATGGTCGAGTGTTCCTGAGTTTCATCCCAAGTACTTCCTCCTACCCCCCCCAAAAAAAAATTGATACAGACTTCAGAAATGGAAAAAAGAGGGCTGTGAAAAAACTGAGGGCAATAATTTAAAAAGGGAGGTGCTAAAATGAATGTAAAGTTAATTCAAAATTGATAGTCTGGCAGGTGATCTGGAGCAGAACAAGGTGGAAAGGCCCACGAAACTTGTGTCCAGTGATCTTGAGATTGGGATTTTGTTGGAGGAGAGACTCATGCAGATACAGTATAGTCCAGTGATTTGAAAACTTGGATTTGGGGGCTCAAATGAATCATGGGTTTGAATCCTAGCTCTGCTTCTTGGTATTTTGGTGATGTTGGACAAGTTACTCTCTTGGCCCTTACCGTGCTGGAATGGTGTAAATAAGATGTTTTACATAAAGTGTCGGGCACAAGTACTTGGCACATGGTATGTGTTCAGTAATTGCTATGTTAAAATAAAGTCAATGGCCAGACTTATCAGGTATTTCAGTTACAGCTCTAAGAACATAAAGCTTAATGCTTAAAAAGGCTTGAATTTCTTTCCTCATACCCTCTTACCTTTTCCTCTTGTTTTTAAAAAGGTCAAATTCAGCCTTATTAATCATAATCAGTATTATAACAGTTCAGATTCAAATACTTCTAAGTTTGATTTTATCATCTCTAATACTCTGTCTCTGAATGTATTTCATAGGGAGGTAAGGGTTTCAATACCCTTGTCTCTAGTTTTCAGATGGTTATTTATTTCATCTAAATTGCAAGTTCATTCCAGCTAGCTGTTTGGTCCCTGGAGAAAGAGACAGGAGATGAAGATCACTCCCAGGTTTTCAGCTTGGCTGGCTGAGAAAGGTAGTGATACCATGAACCAGCAGGGAAGGTGGGATGGGTGCTTGTTTGGCAGGAAAGTGCCACCACTGAGTTTGGTGTTGGACATTAGTCATTTGTGTCTCCTGGAGTTTTATCTCAGACAGTGCCACTGTCTTTAATATTGGGCAGTTTCTCTTAAGCCCACTACCTGTTAATTTACTGAATTAAGCATATGTTTTTCTTATATGTTCCTAGAAACAAGTATGTGTGAAAAAACTACCTTGTAGACATTAATGTGCATATTTATTTATTTAAATAATATCATCATGAATAGTACAAACTTAAGGCTTTGTTCTTCTTAGTCTTTATTTTTATATAATAAACAGAAAATATATTCAATGATTTGATCTACACATTGTTGTCCCTCATCTCCATCTCAAGGTGTGGAAAACTTAAAAAAAATATATTTCCAATGAATTTTTTGGTACTGGGGATGGAACCCAGAGGTGCTTCACCACTGAGCTATATCTCTAGCCCTTTTTATTTTAAGAGAGGGTCTCATTAAGTTGTTTAGGGCCTCACTAAGTTGCTGTGGCTGACCTTGAACTTGTGATCCTTCTACCTTAGCTTCCTAAGCCACTGGGATTACAGCAGGCACCACCACGCCTAGCTCCCAGTGATTTTTTAAGCTTTCTTCCTGCCTATGTCTCTTTCACATTTATCACCACTCCATGAAGCACAGTGAAAATGCTCCATCTCTGTTCTTTTGTTTTTACAGGTGTGTAGTAATGAAGCCACCTGCATCTGTAATTTCACCTGGGCAGGAACAGACTGCAGTATACGAGATCCAGTTAGAAATCCTCACCCACCCACGGATGAAGGACCCAAGGGTTTGTGTGATTTCAGTTTCTATTATTTTCCTAATTTCATTCATTCTCACTCTTCCAAAGCACCAGCACAACACTTTCATGGATTTGAAAGGAGACACATAAGAACATCTCTTTTTGTTATTAAAATGTATAAGTCATTTTTACTGCAGAATTAAGCATCCTGTGTATTTATAAAAATGTGTTTGAATTACCTCTTAGCCTAGAACAACATTAGGAAGAAGTATGCCAATGTTCTCTAACCCAGTTTCCTTTCTCCCCCTTAAACCTCATCCTTTTTCTATGATCACAAATGCTAAATTATTTTATAGTTTTTCTAAGCTATGCCAGTTTTCTAATAGAGAAAGTCTTTGGGGCTGACACGAGACTCTGATCTTTCCTCAGCATTTGAATCCCTCCAGGGGGATGTTATTGCATTCCATGATTTTTTTAAACTCAAGTTTTTGAAGGAGTTAAATTTTTTAATACAGCTTTAATTCTTCAAAGAAGAGGCAAAGGATCTGAACCTTTGTTTTAGTCAGTCCCTAAGAAGAAAAAAATTAGAATTTTAGAATTAGGAGTCTCCATGGCTGCTCAGAACCACCCTCTGATTTTGCAGTTGAGGATGCCCAGCTCCTGAGGTCAGGTGACATATAGTTTCCCAGGCAACAAGAGACTGAGCTGCAATCAGGAACCAATTGCCTGACCTGAGACTCATGCTCTCTTCCATTACATATTCTTAAAATGTAATCTGTGTTGTCGTGAACATGGTAATCATTTTCTCATTATTCTTCTCATTCAATTCTAAAAGATCTAGAAAAACCTTCGGTCACAACTGGTTTACTACAGTATCCATAGCATCATACCTGAGAAAAAATTAACTACTAGAACCAGTTTTAACATACAGAGATGACATTGTACATCAGCTTCCTTTTCATGGTACTCCTGGCGGTATTTTATAAATAATAGCCTTGCTTTCTCCTACAAGTAGCTAAATACACATAGGAATAATATGATGTTGATCATCTCCATTTTGGACGAAAATTCATTTAAACTCTCTGAACTTCAGTGTAGTCTATATGGAAAAATATGACTCTAAAAGCAGATGAAGCTCTGTAGTTTGCAGTTCCTAAAGAGATTTAAGCTAGTTTGGATGTATGTGAATTGTTCTGTAATAGTGGGTGTGTTAAAACACATCTCATGCATTTGCTTAATATGCCCTTGATATTAAAATTCTATAAGAATCATTATCACACCCTCACAGTCTATTTCTATTCTTTTTCCATTTCTAAAAGTGAAACTATCCCATTTTCACATTTTGTCTTTTGTTACTTTAAAACTAGAACAAAACATTCTTGGATCCACCTTCAGAAGTTAGATTTAGAGATTTAAGCTCTGACAAGAGAAGCAGAGGTTCATTCTCTCCAGATTTTCTCTCCGTAGCATGTCTGTGATTTTTAAAAAGATCTAGATGTATATCCTCAAGTGAGGCATAAAGAAATCTGAACAAAAAAGCAGAGCTAAACTTACTTGGATTGCTTTTCTTTAGGCAGAGTAGGGGATTATTAATTGTCTGGTTCTATTCCCTATTCCTTTGCCCACCCATCCCTAGCAAAGCTAAATTTGAGTTAAAGAGCAAACAGGTGTATTCCAGAGAAGAGAAAATTCACAGCTGCCTCTTGCTTTTTATTCTCTTAATGTGGTGATATTCTATACTATCTTTTAAAAAAATAACTCTTTTGATCATTCAAATGATAGATGGTTGTTATAAAAATTTTCTCCAATAGACAGTATGTAACAAATACATGTCTGTTGTCAAAAATAGAGAAAGGATCAAAAAGACGATAGAAACCAGTCTTCATTCCACAAYTCATAGGTAATCAACATAAGCATTCTGTCATATTTCTTTTCTGTTGCCTATTTTCCTTTTTTTATTCTAATGAAGACAATGAACCATTGGAGTAAAAATTTACCCATTGGTGCCAATATTGTTAGAATCCTTATGAATCTCTAACAATTTTGATTAAATTGAAAATAAGTCATTAGTGTAAATGAAGATCAGTTATTTTTGTACATTTTTAGATTTCTGGAAAAATCGAACAATTTTAGTACAACTAAATAATAGCATCATCAGTATTGGCTATTTATTTATTTATTTATTTATTTATTTAAAAACCAATTTTTCTACCTTTATTTTATTTGTTTATATGTGGTGCTGAGGACGGAACACTTGCACGTGCTAGATGAATGCTCTACCGCTGAGCCACAACCCCAGCCCCAGTATTGGCTATTTATACCTTCTCGTTCTGTATAGAAAAACCTATTAATGTAGTAGTAAAATGCTAACAGAAACCAAACTTTTGAAAACTTTGTTATAGATTTATAACTTTATCCTCGATATTCTTGTTAAAAGAAGATGCTAAGAGAGAAACTATACATCTTACTTTTATTTTTGTTCATTTAGCAGATATTTTTCAAGTCTCCACTGTTTAAAAGAGAGTACATTTTTGGCACATAGTCGGCATTCATAAATATTTCATCCCTTTTTTGGGGAATACGTAAACGAAATGGGAAATGCAGCATGTTGGTGCTGATTTTCACTTTATCCGTATGTATTTGTTGTATTGGCTTGCCAAAGAGTAATAGGTAGTGAAATTATGATATTGATTAAATCTGTACTTTCTCAACTATAGGTTCTGCAGCATTTGGGGTGCCAAGTTTTTCTCCATAGCTTCACACTGTATCTTGCTGGCACTTGCTGTACTGAGCACTGTGTTTGGGTCTTCCCCAAATGCACAGCATGTGCAATGATCTGGATAGCTATAGTCATTCGTAAAAATGCAGTGAGAAGGTATTACAAATATTTAGTTTTATTTAATTTTAATGGTCTTCTTTGATATGGAAAATTCAAGAAGCAAAATGAAAATAATTGCCTTTTTATTATGAAATCTGGGCAAAAAAAAGATGAATTGTACCCAACTACATCCCTGTAGATCAAGATCAAATTAGCAAAAATAAGCAGGTTCCATGGAAGGATTTTTCTTTTCTTTTCTTTTCTTTTTTCTTTGTGGGTGTGTATGTGTGTGGTGCTAGGGATGGAACACCTAGGGCCTCACACATAAAGCACTCCACCACCGAACTGAGTTAAGTATTTTCAAAAAAGATTTTGTATTGCAAAGGTCATTTCATTTTTTCCTATGCAGACATTTATTCCATTTACAAAAACTCTTCTCTCAACTTGTTTCTACTGAAATCCCTGAAGGAAATTATTTTTTTTTTCTACAAGGATAGAATACCTTTGAACTCTTTTAAAAAATTTTCCACTTGCTGTAAGGACAGTGTAATTTAATTTAATTTCTATCAATTTGTAGACACTTCTGCGCAATGCTTATTATGTTATACAGGAGGACTTTTATCCTTTGATGGTCATCTGTTATCACCATTCTAAGAGGGAAGAGAAGAAACTGGCACATATAAAATACTTTCAGTGACATTTATGGGCAGAGATTGTCACTAAGAAGCTTGGTCTTAATCAATACTACCATCGTCATCAAATTAGAAAGGACCTTAGAGGCAATTCATTCCAGTCTTATCGTCCTACAAATGAGAAAAGTAATTTAATTATCAGGGTTAACAGCTCATTAATGGTAGAGCCAAAAATAAAATGTGATCACCTGAGCTTGAGTCCAACACTTTTTCTGTTATTCTGGACTGCCTCATTTAAAGCACAGTATTAAGTTATTCTGTTCATTCTTTGAGCACAATAATAAATAGAAAGGGCAAAACAATAACCAAGCAACAATTAAGCTTATTAGCTGAGCCATTATTTGCCAGTGATGCTTATTATGAAATTAGAGGAGAAAGGCCGAATCATATTGTTAGAATTCAATTTTTGAAAACAGTGGTTACTAAATGTTAATAATACCCTGAGGAGTGTTATTTAGTGTTTACATTTACCTTTTGCATATGCCCTTTTGATGACTTTCTTTGTGTGGATACAAATCTTTGATTTTATAGTTCAGATCATGAGATTGCAGACGTTATCACTATCATATATGTTTATGCTCATGTATAATTATATGTCACCTAAGTATTTTTCTCATTAAACATAACCTCACCAATAATTTAAGGATTTGCCAAACTTTAATAAAATATTTTAGTAATTATGAGTTCATTTTGAGTTAATAAAAACCCCATATTTTCATTGACAACATAAGTTGGAAWAGTATTCTTAATGAAATATTTATTTGGTATTCTATCAGGCACTTGTTCCAATATGTCAAAAGATGAACTTTATTTTTTAATTCATAGAAAAGAATAAGAAAATTTGATTGAATGTCTTACATTGAAATTTTAAGCAAGATGGAAAATGTAACAGAAATATTATACTGTGAAATATAAAGAGTTTATTTGCTATTTACTTCTCAACCTAAATTTTAGTGAAGTAACAAATCTCTGCAGAAAGAACTTTGGTCCACAGAGTACCGATGAGTACATTTTTTGCTTCCTGCCTTTGAAGTACACAGGGATGCAGTATTTTAGCCCATTTTGAGTCATTGGAATCACTTGGTGAAATGGTGTACCTTCCTGTTTCAGAAACTCTCTAAAAGAAAACATCCACTCGGTTTCAAACAAGCACAATTTCTAAATGTCTGAAGCATGCTTTGCAGAGGAATTCTACATATAAAATAATCTTAAAAAGGAGAAATTTTAGTTYGATTCTTAATATCAAAATACACTTATCAGAAATTCTGCCTTTTGGCCCAAGTGAACTGAGAGAGTAGGGAACTAAGACTAAAATTAATAAAACCAACAAACCCCAGAAATAACATGAAAACATACTGGTAGGTAATAAACAGGACTCACAAACATGTGAGAGTGACAGGTAAGTGGGTTCAACCCTCAGGGAGCAAATAAGCTTGTAATATGAAGACCATGTTTGCTGGAAGCTCCCGGCTCAGGTTTGGTAGGGTGAGTGGGTAAAAAAGGAAACTGGTCATGTGCACAATGTCATGCCTAGGAGA